TTGTCCCTACCAGTTATTCACAAGCTAATCACACTGCCTCACCAGGGTCTCCTAAGCCATGCATAGCCTGGCCCCATCCATGTTTCATGGCTTTCCTTCTGTATGCCCAGCCACACATGGTATCCTCTGCTTTGAGGGGCGCTCCATGTCCCCTCCCAGGAGCAGCTACCAGAGTCAACGTGTGCTGACTTTGGGGCCCAGGAATTACGGGACAGGATGTTTACTATAATTCCAGGCTGCAAGCCATGTGCAGAGGTCACGTGCATGGACCCAGGCTTGCTGATGGCTCCAGTCAAATTCCAAGATGACTGCCAGCATCACCCGCCTGCCATGAAGGGGACCTTACTGGATATGCAGCACCGGGGAGCCTTCAGCTGACGTAAAACCTGCATGACAACTCGCTGCAGTCACGTGACAATGAAGCAAGACCTGTTCGGTCGACTAATAACCAGTCAGCAGATGAATTGGTAAACAAAATACGGTACCTACAGACTACTAGTCAGCCTTGGAATTTTGATAAATGCTACTGCATCAATGAACTTTGAACATATTGTGCCTCATGAAATAAGCCAGACACAAAAAGAAATACTATGCTACTATACTACTCGTAAGTCACACACACACATACACAGTGACTGAAATTTCCTAGCTACTGGTTCACTTCCCAAATGCTGGCAACAGCTAGGGCAGAGTCAGGCCAAAGCTAGGCACCAAATCTGCCACTTAGGTAGAAGGGATTCAAAGACCTGCTGTTTTCCAAGGTGTGTTTGGCAGGAAGTTGGAACTCAGAGTGGAACCGGGAGGTGAGCCCAGACATAGGATCCGGGGCATCTCAGGTGGCCCCCTCACTTGTGTTCCAAAGGTCTGTCCCTACTCATAGCAGTGTTTCTACAGTGTAGGATTGTGAGTACACTTAATTTACCTTGTTGTAAAAAAACAAATAAACAAAAAACAAAATAAAAAAACACAAATGCCTCTCCAAACCCATGAGGAGTATTCTATAGGCTATGCAGTCTACAGAACAATGCAGTCATCCTAAATTTTAATTTCTACTCTTTGGGGTTCTATTAATTAAAAAAAAAAAAGCAAGAGATTCTAAAAGAGCTGTCAAGCTAGGTACAGTCAAGTCCAAAACCCATGAGAAACAGTAACACACTGTTGGCATGCTACAACATTTCAGAGGTTGCCTAGGCAACCCCAAATGACAGGAACATCCCACAGCTGTCCTCCTTTCTCCACACCAGCAACACCGGCCTTTCGGTTCCTTGGCCATGCCAAGCTGGCTCCTGTCACCCCTCCTACATGCTACCTCCACTTCGGCTCTTGGCATGAATGGCTCCTTTCCATCCTCCAGCGTCAACCCTGCCACACATTAACTGTTTAGTTATTCTGGAACTGTCCTGTGTACAAGTTGGTGCACTGAAGGCCCCATTAGAATGTAGGTTCATCAGACAGTGGCCTATGTACCTTATCCTGCCTGTATTCCCAGCATGTAGCTCAGTGCTTGAAACTCAGGGAAAAAAATTTAAGTATGTTATTTGAAAAGAAGCACAGAAAGAAGGGGGGGGGGGGAATGGAGAGAGAGATTTGCAATAGATTTCAGTGATTTCCTGTGTATTTTCACCAATAAAAAGAAGTTTCCCTAAAAAAGACAAATGAGAAGGTAATTTTGCCCAGTGGTTCACTCCCCGGATGGCCACAATAACCAGGGTTGGGCCAGGGCAAAGTCAGGAGCACGGAACCCCAACTGGGTGTCCCACACGGAATGTGCAGCAACCCAAGCACGTGGACTATCATTTAATACAGATGCATTAGCAAAAAGCTGGATTGAACAGGAGTAGCCAGGAGTGGAACTGTCACTCCAATATGGGAATGCCAGTGTCAAAGTGGAAGCCTGGGCCTGGCACAGATAGATATACAGAGAGGAGGAGAGACAGAAAGATCTTCCATCTGGTAATTCACTCCCCAAGTGACCGCAATGGCCAATCCAAAACTGGGAACCAGGTGCTCTTCCAGGTCTCCCATGTGGGTGCAGGGTCCCAAAGCTTTGGGCCATCCTCGACTGCTTTCCCAGGCCACAAGCAGGGAGCTGGATGGGAAGTAGAGCAGCTGGGATACAAACCAGCGTCCCAGGTATGTAAGGCAAAGACTTTAGCCACCAGGCTACCATGCCAGGCCCTCCTTTTTTTTTCTCCTTTTCTTTTTAAAAGAGTTATTTACTTTTATTGAAAAGGCAGAGTTACAGGGTTGAGACAGAAAGATCTTCCATCCGCTGGCTCACTCCCTGCCACAATGGCCAGAGCTGAACTGATCTGAAACCAGGAGCCAGGAACTTCTTCGGGTCTTCCTTACAGTTGCAGGGTCCCAAGACTGGGTCATCCTCTACTGCTTTCCCAGGCCACCAGCAGGGAACTGAATGGGAAGTGGAGCAGCCAGCACTTGTGGATGGAGTATTAGCCAATTGATGTATTGTACTGGCTCTTGCCTTAGGGTTCTAATTCCTCAAACTGTCTCCTAGGACCACATCTTACCTACTGCTTGGTTTCCCAGAAATCTAACTTCCAGAAGTGCCCCCACATACACACGCGCGCGCACACACACACACACACACCCCAATTCTTAGAACTAAATGAAAAAAAAAAAAAGACTGCAGGGAGATGAACAAATGCCTCCGTGATGTCCATGCAGCTGGTCCCTTCCCTTTTCAACCAGGACTGCACACTTGTCTGGTGTTTTGCCATCTGCTCTTGGAGTTGGTGGTTTGCTTTTTTTTTTTTTTTCCTCCTGACACATAGTCAGTAGGGATCAAACTCCACTCTTGGAGGCCAGGTCTGCCTTCCAGCAACGGGTCCAGGTCATCTCCAGGTGAAGAAGGAAAAGCACGCAATCACCTGGGACTATCCCCTCTGGGATCAGCAGAAGGGAGATAAAACTCTGTTCTGATTTCGTGTGTTCAGCGGTTCTGAAACTAGCACTACAGACAAGACTCAGGAAGCACGGGCAGTGGGTGAAGGGTCTAGCCAATTAATCCATAGTGATTAAGGATAGGTGCTTTGGCCAGAGAGGCCAGTGTTGTAGCATATATGGCACATTAAGCTGCTGCCTCCTCATGATACCTCCTTCCCTTCTCAGTGTGCTGGATGGAGTCCCTCTGATCTAAATCCCTGTTCGTGCACCTGGGAAACCATGGGAGGATGGCCCAAGTGCTTGGGTCCCTGCCACCCACATCAGCAACCCAGATGGAGTTCCCAGCTCCTGCGTTTGGCTTGGCTCAGACCCAGCCATTGGAGCCATTCTGGAAGTGAACTCATGGACAGATCTCTTTCCCTCTGTCTCTTTCTCTGTCACTCTTTTAAATAAATAAAATAAATCTAAAACAAAACAAAACAGGTGTTCTGGGGGTGAACATTCAGTGCAGTGGATGAGAGAACTCCAAGGATCCCCACATCGTAGACCAAAGGGCTTGGATGAAGTTTCAGCTCCACTTCTGAGTCCGGATTCCTGCTGAAGCACCCCCTGCAAGGGAGCAGGTGAGGACTCAAGTCCTTGGGTTCCTGCCATCCACACCAGAGACCCGGATTGAGCTCCAAGCTCCTGCCACTGTCAGCCCCAGCTGTGGTTGGCATCTGGGGAGTGAATGAGCAGAAGCAATTTTGTCTCAGCTTTTCAAGCAAAATGTGAAAGACCTTCCAAGTCAAACTTCCTGCATTCAAAGACAAACTGTGCTGGTTCTAGCTTCCATTTGCCGGACGAGCGATTTTACTCCCTCCCCGAGAACGTCTTCCCGTCTTCCAGTGTAAAGCACAGATGACATCAGGTGTCTCTCAGACTCGTGGAGGAATCCAATGAGTCAACACTTGTAAAGGCTCAGATGCGTCTGGCACATCTCAGCTCTTGTTATTTATTGAAGAGCTTTTTTTTTTAATTGGAGATCTTCATAGGGATCCTAGTGGCTCACAACCACGCGGTGGCCTCAGGCAAGTTCCTACGCTTCCCTCAGCTCAGTCTCTTACTTGTAAAAATGGAAACTGGTAAGGACACCCACCTGATGAAATTTCTCAAAGGCTTAAATAAAGTGTGTGAGTAACAACAACACAGTGACGGCTCCTGTGCCTGGCCGCCACGCACTTCGTGGGCTGAGAGGCAGATCCCGTGACCACACTTTCCATGAAACCACTGAAAGACAGGCCAGAGAGAGCTGGGGTGACTCCCCAAGCCTGCAGGGAAAGGCAGGGCGAGGTCAGGCCTCAGGGTCCCCTTCCTTTGGTGCTTGATTCGCTGCCTCCATCTGTCTAGGCCTGCTATGGGCTAGGAGCGTGTGACCGTGCACAAGTTAATTTAGGCTCCTCCTGCCCCCTTGCCCCAGCCTGATTTCCAAGCCTACACTCTTCCAAAGACAGGCCCTAGCAGCAAGCCCAAGTGTGATGTTGGTGAGCACCATCCCAAGAAGAATGCAGCTCCCTGAAGACCGGGGCTTCCTCACGTCTGTGCGCCACCTTCGGCCCCTGCGTATATCTCACACACATGACAGAAGCGCTATAAATATTTCACAGCCTGGACCTGTGACCTGCTAACCCATATTTTTTTAATAGGGCCTCCTAGAGTGTAATTAATAAGGCCCAGCCAGTAATTATCAGGATGACATCATCTTTCAGTCTGTGCCTCAAGTTGTTCCCTAGAAGTTGCTTCCATCTTCCCCCTGTGAAGAGGGAGGGAGCCAGCAAAGATTCTCACGCCTGGAGGAGGACAGCGAGATTCATGTGACAGCGCAATGTTCTTTTTATAACTTCTCTTATCAGCCGATAAACTCTTGCTCAATCTCGTGGCAGGTCAATGTCCCACCGTGTCAGGCGCTGAGAGGGGGAACGGATCACACAGGAGCCTAAGTTCAACAGACACAGTGCCTAGACCTTTGGTCTCATACATCAGGGTGGAGTAGTTGGGGAGAGGGCCAGGAACGGACTGACCCACGGGAGCCCCACGCCACCCCCTCCAAGTACCTCTGCATCCACTGTTCTTTGTAGGAGGCGCTGAAGGAAAGGCCTGCAAAGAGCTCCGACTTATTGAAACTCACATGAAACTGATCCCAGAACGGGCCAAAGGGGTTTCCTTCCTGCAGAAAAAGTGGTAGAAAGCTTACTGGGGTGGAGAGAGGGCCAGGGCATTGGGGAGGGGCAGGATGGGGCAGGAGAACAGGAGCAGAGGCTTCTGACCCTGGGCAAACACCCTCACAGGAGAAGTTGTGGCCGGGCAGACAGTGTCTGGGCTTCCATTCTGGCCCGAGGCACGCAGTAGTAGCAGCAGCAGCAGCAGCAGCGGTGCCTCTGCTCCTCACCAGCCTCCAGGGACCCTGCAGCACCTGCGCACGGAGGAGCGGCCTCTGAGTTTAGCTCATGGCACTGCAGCTCCTTCAATGCCCTCATTTTCAATGTGAAAGCTGAGGCTCAGCTTACTCAGGGCATTCAGCAAGGGAGGCCTGCAATGGGCAGGAAGCCAGGCCTCCTATCCTGTAACGTCACAGCTCGCGGAGTCACTCCCCGCAGACTCAGTGAGGACTGCCTTATGCTCCCAAGTGCCAGAATTTTACACATTTCTATGAATAAAATACAACTGAAGCAAAAGCTGAAACAAATGACAACCAATTCTACATATTTTCACGTATATTTACATAGAAAGAATATATATATCTTTATATAGATAGACAGATATCAAACAGCACCTCATCTACCCACTGAGAAACATTTCAGTTAAGCGGGTAGGGTTGAATCTTAGCTCCACTGCTTGTCTGCTGTGTGGCCTTGGGAAAACAATGAGCTTCCCTGTGCTACCCTCAGAGTCTGCTCCACAGAAGGACGACACCATCAGTACTTTCCTCATGGGACAGTTCGAGGATTAAGTTAGCTAACATTAACATGCACGCTGGTCTTAGTCTGTAGGCACCCTACAGTAAGTGCTACACACCAGCTGTGAGTACTGCCATACATTTGCAGTTCACAACGTGCTGTCACAGCCAGCCCATAGGAAGCTTCATGAGCCACACATGCCAGGAACCGGTGTCTCTTGTCTGCAGGTAGAAAGAAAGGTCCAGAGAATCCCAGGCAGCCCAAAAGGACAGGCCTGAAAGGAACTGCTCTTTTCGTCTTTCTGCCCAAAGTCCTCTGATGGCCCCCTTGCATACTACTATCACGTGGTCTTGGGGGTCCACAACAGAATGGACGCCCAGTCCCACAGCACCCACCTTCATGGGGCACGTCTTCTTATCTGGGCTTCGCTGGGCTGCCACCTCAAAGCAGTACGCCACCCGTCTCTCTGGGGGCCAGTGGGTGGGCGCCAGCTTCTCCATGAATTCCTCCAGGCTGAGGACCCGGTGGTAGGCCCGGAGGGGCTCCAGCTTAAAGTACTTCTGGTAGGACACATGGAGCTATGGGAAAAGGAGAGGAAGAGTGGAGGTCCTGCCAGGAGCTGCATGAGAGACATTAGCAAAGCCATATACTCTCGCACCCACATGAGAACAAAAACTGTCAAGAGACCCCCAAGTTAGGACAGATACATAAAGGGAGAAGAGGTCCGCAAACCAAAGAACAACACTGTAATAACATCGTTTTCAAAACTAACTGCCAGGCCCAGCGCGGTGGCCTAGTGGTTAAAGACCTCACCTTGAATGTGCCAGGATCCCATATTGGCGCAGTTCTAATCCTGACAACCCCACTTCCCTTCCAGCTCCCTGCTTGTGGCCTGGGAAAACAGTCAAGGACAGCCCAGAACGTTGGATCCTGCACCCACGTGGGAGACCCGGAGGAGCTTCTGTCTCCTGGCTTCGGATCGGCACAGCACTGGCCATTGTGGTCATTTGGGGGAGTGAACCATCGGACGGAAGATCTTCCTTTCTGTCTCTCCTCCTCTCTATAGATCTGCCTTTCCAATAAAAATAAACAAATCTTAAAACAAAAACAAAAACTGCTGCTTTGTAAGGGAAAAAGGCAAAGATGCTGAGAGGAGAGATGGGCAAGGGGAGTTCACAGCAAAGGAACTCCAACAACCAACACACTTGAAAGACAGGCCGCCTGCCTGCTAACCTGGTCAAAGCCAGTCACCGCTCCAGTAAGGCTTCACTGTTCACTCAAGAAGCCAACGAAGTCACGAACATAACTGCACTTCTTAGAAAGGCTGAGGGTGGGGGAAGAGCAGGGGCACGCTCACACCTGGCTGGGCAGAGCAGCACATGGAGCAGAGGGCAACTCTGGGCTGTAATCTGTCAGGACCTTACAGGATGTCAGGTGCTCGTTCCACCTGCAAGTCATACCAATGGATGGATGCAAGGGGGTTCAGCACCATTATGGCAGTACAAGGGTGCTGCCAAGTTCATGGAAAATTCAAATTAAAGACTTATTTATTTATTTGAAACACAGAGCTGAAAGCCAGGGGAGGGGCGGAATCTCCTGCCTGTTTATTCACTTTCCAGATGGCTGGAATGGCCTGAGCTAGACCATGCTAAAGCCAGGAGACATAGACCCCCATCTGGGTCTCCCAAGGGCTTGGGCCCTTCTTTGGTTACTTTCCCAGCACATTAACAAGGAGCTGGATTGGAAGTAGACAGTTGGGAACCCCCTCGCATACTGGCACTACAGGAAGAGTTTAACGTGCTGCATTACAACACTAGCTCCAGGTGTCAACAAGATTTTGAAATCCACGCGTAACTTTTTAATTACACATTTTCCACAAACTTTGTGAAGACGTTGGAAGAAACTGCACAAAATATATTAAAAGCTAGACAGTACTACATCTGGTCTTAGTCTGCAGGGGACTAGGTTTGCCCCAGGGTTGAAGACTATATATTTTATGAATTTAAAAGGCTTTCTTTCCCTTACCCCTTACTAACAAAAAATAGAAGATGAAGCAAAGATGAGAAAATATTCCTGATAATCATTTTCAGTGGAGGGCACAAGCATGGTAGCTGTACTTATCTTTGTATAGCTGTAGATTTTAAGGCACTGCTTAGAACAGCACAGAGTAAGACTTGGACTTTATTCTATAGGTCAGGGTTTTCCAAGCATATCTCACTAGTCTGGGTAAATCAAGAGTTTTGCAATAAAAAAGTCCACTGGGTTAAAGAGGTCTGGGAAAGGCTGCTTTAAGCTGGATTCTTCAACATAAGGCTTCCTGAGGCCTTTATACGTGCACTGTGCAAACGTGCAGTTGTATGCTGTGAATCTACAAATTTTTTAGGGTTGGCACAGTAGTTCAACAGGTTAATCCTTAGGCTGTAATGCTGGCATCCCATATGGGTGCTGATTCACATCCTGGTTGCTCCACTTATCATCCAGCTCTCTGCTTTTGTACCTGGGAAAGCAGCAGAGGATAGCCTAAGTCCTTGGGCCTCTCACCCACATGGAAGACCCAGAAGTTGTTCCTGGCTTCATACTGGCTTAGCTGAGGATGCAAGTTCTCTTTCTCTGTCCCTCTTTCTCTGTGTAAATCTGTTTTCAAATAAAAATAAATTCTTTTTTTTTTTAAAAAAGGTACTTTTTCTAGCTAATAGGGCACCCCCCATGCCTGACTGTTGGCACGCCACTGAACAGACTTTGGGAATCTTCACTATTAATAATGAGGTGCTATTGAAGGATTTTAAGCAGAAGGTGAGACCTATCTTTTTTGAAAGATCATTCTGGCTGCATAGAAGAGACACTGATGGCAAACGCAGAGACAATCGAGGAATCAGCAGGCCATGGCCTCGGTCCTTTGATGTGCTCACTTTGAACACGCCTTTCCCAGGCCCGGCTACACGAGAGCTGAAGAGGTATGGAGGGAGGAGGGATATAGAGGAAAATCAAGCCAGGCGTTTGGGGCTGAATGTGTGAGGCAAGGAAGGCATTCAGGGCCACCTCTAGGTTCCTGGTATGGTACCCAGCGGAAGGGACACGGAATAAGCGAAGGCTAGGAACACAGGCAGTAACACGGGTTGAGGGGAAAGTGTCAAGTTCAGTTCTGGCTTAGTGAATTTGAAATATCTGTGGGACATCCATCAGCCTCAATGGTTGAGGAGTCAGAAACTCAGGCCTTTGAGCACAGGGACGTGGAGAAGAGGGACAAAAGTCAACAGAAATTTACAGCACAGCAAGTGATGACAATAACAGTAACTCGCACCTCCTGAGAGCTGACTTAGTGCCAGGTGCTCCGCTCATCATTTTACATGCAATTGCTCCTCTAATTGGAACAGACAGGACAACAACCATCTCTAGTGCACTTATGAAGAAAGCCAGGCAAACAGAATCCAGATGGCTAATCTGAGGTCACAGAGCTAGCAAGCAAACAGAGACAAACCAACAGCTAGACAGCGGGTGGAGGGAGGAGCCCACCCCCATCACAGCGCCAAGAGGAACATGCTCAAGTTCAGGGCTGCCACAGGCACAGGTAGTATCCTGCAAACCTGGGGAGGAGGGAGTTCAGGCAAGACAGAAGCCCTCAGGATCCGGTGCCAGTGGCAGGTCAAGTCAGCTAAAGACCAAGAATTGACCCCTGCATGTGGCCATGCTGAGATTCCTGGTGGCCTCAGTGAGAACGGTCACAGTAGAGGAGAGGAGCCCAATCATGACAGGCTGAATGACCCAAACAAAGCAACAAGTGAAGAAGATTCAGAGAATCATTTGGCAGTGCAGGTAAGGAGACAGGGAGCAAGTCAGGCAGAGAGAGACACATGGGACAGGGCTGAAAGAAAACCGCCAGTGCAGGGGCCAGCCCTGTGCTATAGCACATTAAGCCACTGCCTACGACACTGGCATTCTCTACAGGTGCCAGTTCATGTTCCAGCTGCTGCAGTTCCCTACCAATGTGCCTGGGAAAGCAGCAGAAGATAGTTTAAGTATGTGCCTGAGCCCCTGCTGCCCATGTGGGAGACACAGAAGGAACTCTTGGCATTGGCCTGGCTCAGTCCAACCTCGCTGTTGCAGCCATTTGGGGAGCAAACTAGAGGACGGAAGAACTCTCTCTCTACACCTCATTAATAAACAAAAATATCTTTTTTTTTGTAAGTGAATACAAAAACCAAAAACCATAAACAAGAACTTTCATGGCTTCCACATTGATAAGCTTAGCTGATTCTAAGAGGGAAGAACACGACAATGTTCAAAGCATTCGCTACTCATCAGGGCGGATGGGAACAATTAATACCAGCCTATAGCACAGACAAGCAAACGGTGACACAAAGAAGTCAAGCACCTTGCCCAGGCCACAGAGCTGGCAGGAAGCAAAGCTGGGTGACGACTTGGCTTCCAAGCTCCATTAACAGCCTCTCTCGATACGGGCACTCAAGAGAAAAATAAAACTGAAGCAGAGAAAAGGCTGTTAAGAATGCAAATGCAGCCTTATGTATGCAGTAGGTATCATTTTGGATGCCTTCAAATGTATTCCAGTCAATCTGTTAAATCTTTTTTTTTTTCTTTTTTGTCCATTAAATCTTAATTGAGCTCCTACTGTCAGACCCCTGAGAATACAATGTGAAAGATGGAGACAGGGTCCTCGGAAGACACAAAGAACAGTAAGGAACGAAGTCAGTAGCAGCAGCATGCTAGCCCCTTACCTGGCCAGTGGGAGCACTGCAGCCGCACTGCTGGGTTTGTGTTTTGTGGGTTTTGGGGAGTAAGATGTATTTATTCAAAAGGCAGAGTTACAGAGAGAAAGGAGTAGTAGCAGAGAGAGAACTTTCAGTCCCTAGTTCATCCCCTTAGATGGCTGTAATGATTGGAGCTGGACCAGGGCAAATCCAGTAACCTCTAACTCTATCCAGTTTTCCCACTTGGGTGGCAGCAGTTTAGCAATCGGGCCATGGTTTGCTGTACCTCCAGGTGCATTAGCAGGAAGCTGGATCAGAAGTGGAGCAGCTGGGACTTGAACTAGCACTCAGGTTGGAGGCTGGTACTCCAGTGACAGCTTGACTCACTGCGCCACCATGCCTACCCCTGGGTTTGAGGTCTTGGACATACTGTTAATTAACTTATACCTTATCTTTTCCTTCAAAGTCAATTATAATATCCATCATCTGAAGACCAAGGGAATGACTGAGAGGGAACCAATCAGGCTTGGAAATGGAAGATTTTGGATTTAAGCCACATGTTCTGCAATGAGACAGGCAAGGACCTGACTGCCAGCTCCAGCATCTACAGCCTATGTGGCCTTGGACAAATGAGTGAACCTCTCCACATTTCAGTTTCCTCACAGGCATGGGATGTGGGACAGTGCAGTGCTTCAGTGCAGCCGCACAGAAGGTGCTGGATCAATGACAGAGAAAATACTTCTGGATAGAGGACAGGACATGCTCAAGGGAGTGGGAGGTGAAATCCAGAGAAGGACGTGGCGGGATTCAAACAGATGCCAGACTGGGGAAGGGGAAGTGGGTGCCAGGGTCGGTGGGAAGTACTCACATTGGTGAAGGGAGGCTTATGATGCTGGTACTCAATCCAGGGAGGGACGGCCAGAGTGCGGTTCAGCAGCTTAGCAAACGCCAGGGAGCCCAGGAAGTGCTCAGCCTGGTTCCCAAATCGCCCTGGGAGGAAGATGCAGACAGAGAGGTGAAGCCTTAGGCACACAGGGGACCCAGGGCTGGGAGAGGACCTGGGTGCTGTGAGGGGAAACAGGAAACAGCAGCACCACCACAAGCCTGGCCTCCAGGGTGTCCTGTTCAAGGCTGTGCAGGCCCTGCTTCAGTGGCCAGCCACTCCTGACTCCCCGCTGTTTCCCCAAAGGGTTCACCCACCCCCCACCCTGGAGCCTTCGTTCCCCCAGCGTCCTTGCCCCTGCCCACTAAGGAGCAGCAAGAAGGTCACGCTGAGACATCCCCCACCCCCAAGTCACACTCACACGGCCTCCTCTGCATGCCACTTTCTACTGGAACCACTTGAGCTCTTCACGTCTCCTCAAAAGCCTGTCCCCGATCAGGCCCGTTTTCCCAGGAGTGAGCATCCTGGTCAATTTTGCCCATCTGGCATTGACCCCCTCTCCCAATCCGTCATTGCAAACACCCCTGAGAGGCCACAAAGGACCAGGCTCTTAGATACAGCTTGGCAATTAGGAAATAGGCTCGGCCCTTAAGCTCCTGGGAGGCCCTCAGCAGGACTACAAATATACAGTGAGATATTTTGGCCTGAAAGAACTGAAAAGGAATGGTGATGGGGAAGACAAATAAGATATGGCTGGGGTGGGGCGGGGCTGTCAGTGCAGTCCCTTCTGGTGACATTGAGGCGGAGGTAGGAGAGGTGGCCAGACAAAGTGAAGGAGATGGGGTTTTGGGAGGAGGGACCTGCACATGCACCTGAATGTGCATGTGTGCATGTGCATGTGTGAGGGACAGAACGGAGGCAAGGGGGTCTGTGGCTGCAGGTGTGTGTGTGTGTGGGGGGGAATCACAGAACCCTGAAGATCGCAATGAGACCTTTCCCAGTCCTGTGCCACCACCCCATTTAAATGACTGGCACCCCTCCACTGGCCCTCTGCCATCTGCTCGCTTTTATTTTCCCCCTAGCTTTCATCAGCACCATCTTCTAAGACAGCATGTCTTTAAGAGTTGTCTCTTGTTGTTTCCCCTTGGCTAAAACGACAAGGGTTTACCTCATGCACCACCACCTTATCCCCAGCCCAGTCAACAGGGCCGAGACAGAAGGGGATGGGATGCCCTGTCAATGTTTGCTGCATGAATGAAAAGAAAAGCCTGCTGGCCGCATGGCTCGGGGGACACCAAGCCCTGCCTCCACTGAACTCTCCGGGTTGCCTGAGACCACGTCCATTCCGTTTTCTGTCACACGCAAGGATGGCCATGGTGGCCCCCGTGGTGCTCCTGGACTTTCTCTCCTGGCCCTGCCGGGGCGTCTCCAAGGTGTGATGGCTTCTCCTCTCCCGGCCTTTCTCCATCTGAGGAGAGAGGGCTCAGGGAGGCCTTACCCATGCAGGGGCAGTAGAGCAGGTAGCCGGCAGGATCCCAGGAGCCCGCGGGCAGCCCGGGGAGCGGCTGAAGCAACAGCAGTAGCAGCAGCAGCAACCCTCGCCACGCCAAGGGCGGCGGTGCCCACGCGGCGGCGCCCATGTCGGCCCCGAGCGCGCAGCGCCGTGGAGGCGGGGGAAGGCGAGCCGAGGCGCCAGAATCCGCCCCGCTCCCGGCGCGCCCCGCGCGCCGCCCGCGCGCCGCCCCGGCCGCTCTAGCCCGCGGGCGGGCGGGACCATCGAGAGCCCGCGGCACCGCCCCCTCCACGGCCCGAGCGCCCGCTCGCGCGGCTCCCACAATGCACCGCACAATGGCCCGGCCGCCGCCACTACCGGGGCCTGAGCGGGCCTGGCGGAGCCCGAGCGCGGCCCGGCCCGCAGCGCGGGGCCCCGAGCGCGGTGAGTGCCGGCGAGGGCCCCGGGGGACGGCGGGGAGCGGGGCGGGAGGCCGTCTCGCTGCACCTGCGCGCGGAGGGGCACCAGAGCCGCGGCGCCCCTTGGTCTCGGGGCTCCTCGGCGCGGGCGCTCACACACACCCCTGTCGGGGGCGGCGTTGGGGGGGGAAGCCCTTATTTTTTTTTGTGCCAGCCTGGCCCCAGATAGGCCCGAGGGTGACGAAAAGTCTGCCCGGATCATGAGACGTGGGATCTGGGAGACCCCAAGAAGCCTCGCTGACCTCCCTCTTTTCCCGATACCTGGAGTCGCAGCCCTGGGGTCCCCCCACTCTCGACCCCCAGGCTCTCTGGAGACCCAGATAACGTGCTGCTGATCTTCCCCGGAACCCGGGTCTGGGGGACGCCGATAAGATGCACCTGCCCCCTCCCTCGGACACGCCTACCCAGACCCGCGTACTCCCCTCCTGTAGCTCCCAGTAGTCTGGTTGCCCCCCACCCCCGCGGCTGTTGGCTTTTCCAGGTTTACATAACCCCCCTTTGAAGTTTCCCTCAAGGATCTGAGTGTGAAAAAACCCGAATAAGCCCGACCGGTAGTAGTTTCCTTCCCCGCGGATCACACCCCCAGACTTCACACATCTTCCAGCCGCGACGGTTAGAGACCAGACGGTCTTAAAATCCAAAGACTTCCTTTCTGCCTGTGTGCAATCATGGGAGCCCTCTGACCCCCACAAACCTTTCGACTTTTGGGGGGAGTCCCTTAGAGAACCGGATCACCTGCTCGTGACGGCTTGCTATACTTGCTATACTTGCTTACTTGCTTTTTCTTCCTACCCTTAAGATTCCAGTCTTCTCCCTAGAATTCCCATCCCTTCTTTGCACCCTTCCACTTGGATCTCTCTCAGTCTTTTTTTTTGGGGGGGGGGGAGCGGAATTTAGCTGCTTCCCACCACGCAGTAGAGGTGGTCTGGAAGCTAGCCTAGGAGCCAGACTTTTAGGCTACAAATCCAGTTCTATACTGTGACCCATGAAACTTGATGGTGGGGAAAGGGCGCTGGAAAGAGGAGGGCGGTTGGGTAGGAGGGGAGCTGGTGTGTTCACCTGCTCTGCTCGGGTAGCCTGTCTTGCCGGAGTGTGTGTTTTTCCACCTGTCAGCCCCAGCCTTAGGTTTCTGTCTCTCCTCCTTAGGTAAAGCCACCAAATTTGGAAGGACAGGGGTTGTCAAAACATGCTTTGTTGTTGTTTGTTTGTTTGTTTCCTCCATTGAGAATCAGTCTGTGGCGAGGTGCAGCCATTTGCTCAAGTTGCCCCCCCCCCAGCAGAACAGCAGGAATCTGAGGAAAGCTTGAATCAAAGGGACTGCAAAGGGCCCAGCCACACCAATGGGAGAAACAGCAGCCTGGGAGTAAATCCAACCTCTGTTAATCCTGTTTGATGTTTCTTGGAATGATGCAAGTCATTGAGACTTTCCTGCCTCCCTGTAATTTAATTCTCCCACCTCTCTGGAGTGTGTGTGTCCTGGGCAGGGAAGCTGGGGGGCGGGGAGCAGCTAGTCCCACTCAGTTCTTTTCCTTCTCACGCCGTGCTCCAGCCAGCCATCGTGTCTTTGCAGTCCTGTTTCTAGTGCCCAGGTCAGGAGCCCCACCACCCACCTCCTTTTTTTTTTTTTAACATCTATTTATAATTTCCCAGTTGCTATTTTGGGTTCTGCTTAAGGGAGGATTCCGTTCACCCCAAGGAAAGTTCCTGGGTGTGTTTCCTTCTCAGCAGGTGTTGGATTGAGTGCTTCAGATCCACCCCCCCCCCAGGAGCTCTGGGCTGAAGGGATAAAGGCTATTTTAGGGTAGTCACTGGAGTGGAGCTGTTAATCCTCTCTAGGTCTCTTTAGTAAAGAACACTCAGAGATTAACTCTTTCCTTGCTGCAGGAGGCATGTTGGGGTGGGGATGGTTGGGAGAGTTTGTGTAGCAGCAGAAAATGGGAACCTGCAACTTGATACAAAAGCAAAGAGAATACTCCTCTTTTAGGGGGGCACTTTTGGAGCCCTGTGTGGAGCTCTTGGCATACCTGATTAAAATAAGCCTTAGAAAAAGCCCGTGAGGTACGTATTTTTAGCTTTACAGATGAGGAAACAGGCTAATAATGGAGAAAGAAGGCAGTTTCTATAGAGATGATGTAACACCATAAAAACCAGTTTCCTCAGAGGGCAGCGGGTATCATGGCATGCAACAGAGGACTCGCAGGCTGGGGAGCGGCGTGGCTCTCAGTCTGTAGGCCCTGCCGCGTGGGACAGAAGGGACAGTGAAAGTGTAACCAAGGAGATGATGCAGGAAGGGGGAGGGAGGGAAGGGGTGAAGGAGAGAGAGGAAGGAGCTGGCGTCCGACTGGGGATGTGCTGAGGATTTGTCGTGGGGAAAAAGAGAAGTAACCTGAGTGAGGGAAGGACAAAGGAATGCCCTGACCACAGGCACAAAGAGGCAGGGGCAGCCGGGAGCTCAGCACACAGTGTCACCCTCAGGAGGAGTCTCTGATTTAATCCTCTGTGAGACCCTTGCAGGGAGCAAGGCCCTGTCTCTGTCGTAGAAATTGAGGCAAGCATGGTACAGAGACCCAGCGAAACCTGACCAGGGCTTGGGCACTGCTGAGTGACAGCCCCTCTGATAGCAAGTCCAAGGTTCTTTCCATGCTAGCCTGCTCGTTCAGATCAGAAAGCAGAAGGGATCTTGGGCTGAAAATACACCAAGTTTTGCCAGTGCCTGGGAGGGAGGGATTGTGTTTGTTTTATGGGAACAGGTTCTGGCAGCTTCTCTGTAGTTGTTCAGGTTGGAGTGGGAGACCAGAAGGGCAGCTTTGAAAGACAAGTAGAATTCTTTCACAGTTTTGTTGAGGAAGGAGCCTGCAGAAAGGGACTTTGGATTACATGAGACAAGCCCAGGAGATTTTTAAAAGGAAAGGCCAGACCCCATGCCCACCCCCAACCCCAAGCGTTCCTGGGCAACACTAGCAGTGTTGATGATCCAGCAGCCTGCTAGTAACTTGGTCAGGACTTTATTGTGCCTTTTAAAAGCATAAATGAGTAGGATCAGGGTGTTGGCTCTTAGCTTTTGAAAGCTGTAAGCCCTTGACGCAGATCAAGGGGAGCACGATGGCTGCTGGCCTGCTTTCTTTGGTTCTATCAGGACAGCCTTGTGAGTTCTTCCCAGCCACTACCAGCCTCTTTCCTAGAAACCCATTACTCATGCTTTCAGTAGTGGCCTGCTACCCTGCTGCATCTTGGTCGTGCTTGTTCAGAAGAACAGATGAAGTGGACGTGTGGGAGGTAGGGGCTGCACTGTTCTCTTTCTGAGTTTGCGTGGAATTTCCAGGGCCAGGCCCCTAGTCCCATCAGCAACGGTGCTGGAGCTGATTTGCTTCCCTGTGGCTGCTATTTCCAGCTAGAGCTGAGGTAGATGATTACAGGTACAAACAGGGAGCAGAATTTGATTTTGAAGGCAAGGGAACTTCCTTCCAAACTCGCCATGCAGTGCTCGCTTTGGCAGCACATATACTAAAATTGGAACGATACAAAGATTAGCATGGCCCCTGTGCAAGGGTGACACGCAAACTCGCCATGCAGCCAGTTCCAAGGGGGCAGGATTATCTCTGGGTTTATAAACAGGTAATTCCACCCTTGAGAAGAAGGAGGGACTTAAACAATGAAAGCCAGACGTCAGAGGTCGCTAGTGGAGAGGGCTGACGTGCCCAGTGACTAGACGGCTTAAATGGAACCAGTCTTCGGTATTGCCTCCCGCTCCCCAGCACGTGATTCATGCAAAACGCAGCCACCTTTGTGCAGATACTTCTAGGCAAATCTCCATCGGTGATGGGGAAATGTTTATCATAGTACAGTGCCGTGTTTCTTCAGCAAGAGGAATGGCTGCTCCTGAACAGGATGAGGCTCATGTTAATGATGAGCCAAGCTCTCTCGGGCATGAACCCGCTGATCCCATCATCTCATTCCCGGCCAGGCTATTGCGTGAATGGTGGCTGTGAGCAGCAGGTGCTGACGAGCTGAGCAAGCATTTTGCGACCCACAGCTAGTTTGTGCCGTTGGAGCCTTCCCCAGATGGTCATGGACCAGCCCCACACGCCACGTGCTTGTTTCATGTGGAGAAGCCTTGCAACCAAATTCTGGCATGAACTCATCAAAGGGAATCCCCCTGTTGTAGTTGGTTGTGTTGTGGTTGTAACCTGTGGTGAGCCTGGGAGCATGAATGTGGACCTGTTGTCGTCCTCCAAGAGTCGGTGCTGTGCCTCCCATCCCCATCCTCTGAGTTGGCATCAAGACAGGAGTTCTCTTGTTCCAGTTCTCTTCCCCCACCCCACCGCCCTGTTCTCCGACTGCCCACTTTGGAAAGGCTGCAGACTCATTTTGAAGCAGAACTTCCCGGGCCCAGGTTGGTTTCTGAGATTCAGTTTACAGAGAATGAATAAAAAAAGTTGAGGTTCATTTTCTAGATGTGAAGTATGGAACTCTTAAGAGACTTGATAGAAGTGTTTAAACAACCAGTCTGATGGAGAAGACTAAATTCTAGTGCAAGAGTGTGACTTGCTCAGAGTGTGCCCTGAGGGGTCTGTAGGTGGGGCCCCTTAGCACCCTGATATATTGGACAGGCCTTGCCAGGAAGACATGATCTGTGCCCAGAGGCAGTGGAGTTCTGGAGGGGACCAGCTCTCACTTCAGGAAAACTCTGAGGCTCTTGTGGCCTCCTGATGTTGACACCTTGTTAGGAAGACATCTGGCACAGGGCTGGTTTTCCAGGGCTTAAATTCCTGGAATAAAGCCACCTTCTTTATTCTCTGAGGCCGTTTGGGCATTTTATGGCTCCTTAGCACCTCCCTGAGGAGGAAAATTGTGGAAAGTAGTGGCTGAACAGAAGGCAGTAGCTGAGTGGGAGGGAAAATTGGGGGGGGGGGGGTGCGGGAGGAACGGATGCCTTCCGGTTTAGTGAAGAGGATGTAAAAGTGAAGTTAGGAAGCCAGATTTGGAGTTTTAGGAATTTTAGTTCCTTAGTTTATCTTGTTTCTTGTTCACCTAGGTGGTACTGGTAATAATAGCTATCACTACGCATTGCTCCTTCTTTCCTCAAAATATCCTATCATTTGGAGTATTAATGCCATTTTATAAATGAGGAAATGGCTCAAGGAGTCACCCAGCTGCTAAATGGGGAGGCTGGACTTGGGCTGGGCCATCTATGTTCGCAGCCCATGTTCTCGTGGCCTGGACTCCCTAACACCAGCTCCTCTGGTTTTTTGTTTTTTTGTTTTTTTGTTTTTCAGGTGAAGAGATCGTTTTCTGAAAGCTGTGTTGAAGGCGGCAACGGAGCAGAAGGCTCATGCAGAGCGAATGGGGAGGCTTTCTGAATAAGATGGCTCTTCGCCATTAGCCCTGCCATGACCACATTTTTCACCAGCGTCCCCCCCTGGATTCAAGATGCAAAGCAGGAGGAGGAAGTGGGCTGGAAACTAGTTCCCAGGCCTCGGGGCCGGGAGGCAGAGAGTCAAGTGAAGTGCCAATGTGAAATCTCGGGGCCGCCCTTCTCCAGTGGGGAGAAGCTGAGGCCTCACAGCTTCCCGCACATCGAGCAGAGACCATATAGTTGCCCTCAGCTGCACTGTGGCAAGGCTTTTGCCTCCAAGTACAAGCTGTACAGGTAAGTGCCACACCCATCTCTTCCTGCCCTTCAGTTCCCAGAGGACAAAGCCAGAACCCGCTGTGGGGTTGAATTTGTCCTACAGATCCAACCCCTGACCAGTCAATGTCACCCACTAGACAAGATGGCATTTTTTTATTGAGACACTGGAGTTTGATGGCTACAATCTCAGCCATGAACAAAACAGCCTGCACATTTTTTAAGTCTTGCTTTCCCCATCCCTGTAAGGTACTGGTCATATAATCTTAGCCAGAAGTTAGAACTCCAGAAGGAAAATGGGGTGCACCCAGCCCAGGGTGTCTATTAAAGTGGAAACCCAAAGCTGGGTGTGCCTCCCCTGGGGTTGCATGCAGTACCCCTCCTCTGGAGCCAGTCTGCCACCCGCATGTTGACTGCCTTCTCTGAGGAGTCCCTGCTACTTGCTGAGCCAGCTGCTTTTCTGAAATCTGGAAGCCCGCGAGCCATGACTGAAAGTGAAGCCCTGTAAGCAGAAGCCTTGGTTGGGAGGGCAGCCTGTTCGAAGACAGCTCTGACTTGGCCCTTGCCTTTCCATTAACTGCCCTTTTACAGCTGTGGTGGACTGGGCCTGATGGGCAGTTGGCCAAGCAGCTGTTTGTCCAGCTGTTGTTTTATTGAGCTCCTGCTGCATACCAGGCTCAGGACTGGGTGCTAGGGACAGAGTGGTGAGCCAGACAGACTGGAAGTGCTGGCCCTCATTGACTTTACTGTTTCAGTATTGGGGCCTGAACAGGATGACCACAGAAAGCCCCACTTCCTCATCCGAAGTACAGTTGATGGGAAGGAACTAAAATAGGCAGCAAGGCAGTGTGGTGGCCATGGCTGCCTCAGGACAGCTCTGCGGTCCTCACACTGCCTGCATGGTCTGTGTGTGCCTGAGTCTTAGATGACTCCAGTCACGACCACCTGCTGACACATGGGCTGAGTGCCGTTGAGGGGCTGCGGGAAGATGCTAGCCCAGGGCCCGTAGTTCTCCAGGAGGTCTCTCTGGGCCTCAGTTTCCTCCCCTGAAAACGAGGGAGTGGAGTGAATCACTCAGCACTTCCCTGTCACCTATTGTCACTGCTGCGTCAGTTACGTCAGAGGTTGCCGGTAACCCACACAGGTGTGAGTGTGAGGACAACAGATGTATATGATTCGCCCCTGGGAAGAGAAGATCACTGGGGCTGTTCCAGTGAGAGCTGAGTGACCCAGGTTTCTAGAAGGTCTGTGTTTCAGTGCAGCCCCTGCCTTGTGCTGACTGGTAAGTGAGGCTGCCTGGGCCTCAGCCTCCAGTAGAGAACAAGGTTAATGACAATTCCTACAGGGCCTAGTGAATGGGGATGCTCCTGGAGTCTTGTTGAGTTGATCTTGAGTCTGCTGCAGAGCTGTGGGCTGCCCTTCCTAGGCTCTGAGCTGCTTTCTGACTGTGGAAGCAGGTGAGCCAACGGGCCCTGAGGTGCTGGCATCAGTGAGCATGCGGTGGACAGTTCCGTCCCACTCATGGCCACTGTCTGTCTCCCTGGGGGCAGCCACAGGAGTTCCAAGCATGCGTTCCCTTCCTTTTTATCAAAAGGGATATTATTACACTCTGTAGGACTCACTCCCTATTTTTATTATTGTAAGAGTTCATTCCCAATGAGGCAACTTAGGAATACTTCATTCTCCCTTTAGTGTGTCATTTTATGGATGATTTTTGCAAAGGGAATGCACTCAGATAATTTAAAACCCATCCAGGACCAAAAGGTGTACAGTAAAAGCTGACACAGTCATCCATCTGAAAGGTGTCCAGTTCTCCGCACAGGCAACAGGGGATGTGTTTTTTGGACTCATGTATCCTTCCAGAAATACTTTAAGTATATACACAGCTGCCTCAGTTTTTGAGAAGTTAGAACCATTGTAGAGATTTAACGTCATTTGGGGACGAATTCCCTAGTGACTGATTGAATGAGAATATTTCTCATTTTGGCCTCTACAGATAGTACTGCAAGTGCTTTTCTTTCTTTTTTTTTTTTTTAAGATTTATTTTTATTATTTTTTCATTGGAAAGGCAGATATACAGAGAGGAGAGACAGAGAGGAAGATCTTCCGTCCGATGATTCACTCCCCAAGTGAGCGCAACGGGCCGATACTATGCCGATCCGAAGCCAGGAGCCTCTTCCGGGTCTCCCACGCGGGTGCAGGGTCCCAAAGCTTTGGGCCGTCCTCGACTGCTTTCCCGGGCCACAGGCAGGGAGCTGGAAGGGAAGCGGGGCTGCCAGGATTAGAACCGGCGCCCATATGGGATCCCGGGCGTGCAAGGCGAGGACCTTTAACCACTTGCGCCACCGCGCCGGGCCCTGCAAGTGCTTTTCTGCAGGTGGGCAAGGACAGCTCTGGAGCTCAGCTGGCATGCATTCCATCCGAGGCTTTCCTGTAGTAGTTCATATGTTCAGTTTCTGTTTAATGGGCACCTTAAGTATGCCACCAGCCCTTGTGATGTCACCCCTTCTTCATTTTCTCTTCTTTCCTCCCATTCCCTAGGCACATGGCCACCCATTCAGCCCAGAAACCCCACCAGTGCATGTACTGTGATAAGATGTTTCATCGCAAGGACCATCTGCGGAATCACCTGCAGACCCACGACCCCAACAAAGAGGCCCTCCACTGTTCTGAGTGTGGTAAGAATTACAATACCAAGCTGGGTTACCGGCGCCATCTGGCCATGCATGCTGCCAGCAGTGGTGACCTCAGCTGCAAAGTGTGCCTGCAGACGTTTGAGAGCACCCAGGCTCTGCTGGAGCACCTGAAGGCCCACTCCCGCCGGGTCGCAGGCGGTGCCAAGGAGAAGAAGCACCCCTGCGACCACTGCGACCGGCGCTTCTACACCCGGAAGGATGTGCGGCGGCACCTGGTGGTACACACAGGCCGCAAGGACTTCCTGTGCCAGTACTGTGCCCAGCGATTTGGGCGCAAGGACCACCTGACACGTCACGTCAAGAAGAGCCACTCACAGGAGCTGCTCAAGATCAAGACCGAGCCTGTGGACATGCTGGGCCTGCTCAGCTGCAGCTCCACAGTCAACGTGAAGGAGGAGCTGAGCCCCGTGCTGTGCATGGCCTCGCGGGACGTGATGGGGGCCAAGGCCTTCCCAGGCATGTTGCCCATGGGCATGTATGGCGCCCACATCCCTACCATGCCCAGCACGGGCGTGCCACACTCCCTGGTACACAACACGCTGCCCATGGGCATGAGCTACCCTCTGGAGTCCTCACCTATCTCCTCCCCAGCTCAGCTCCCTCCGAAATACCAGCTTGGATCTACCTCATACTTGCCCGACAAATTGCCCAAAGTGGAGGTGGACAGTTTTCTGGCAGAGCTCCCCGGAAGCCTGTCTCTCCCGTCGGCTGAGCCCCAGCCTGCCTCCCCTCAGCCGGCAGCGGCGGCGGCCCTCCTCGATGAAGCACTGCTCGCCAAGAGCCCCGCCAACCTCTCCGAGGCCCTGTGCGCTGCTAATATGGACTTCTCCCACCTCCTGGGCTTTCTGCCCCTCAACCTGCCCCCGTGCAACCCTCCCGGGGCCACAGGAGGCCTGGTCATGGGCTACTCCCAGGCCGAAGCACAGCCCCTGCTCACCACTCTGCAAGCTCAGCCTCCCGAGTCCCCGGGAGCCGGGGGACCCCTGAACTTTGGGCCTCTGCACTCCTTGCCACCCGTCTTCACCTCGGGCCTGAGTACCACCACCCTGCCTCGGTTCCACCAAGCATTCCAGTAGCCCCCACGGAGGCCCTCCGCTCATGTCAGGGAGCTCTAGGACCCGCCCCGTCCACGTCCCCCCAAGAAGGCAGCTTAGCTTTCAGAGCTGAGTTCAAAAAGAAAAAAAAAAATTCCAGTGTCTATACGGAGCACTTGGGCTGGGCGTTCAGGCTCCAGGATCAGTTCCAGGAGGAGCCCTGAAGCCTGGCCCCGTGAGAAGATCTCATATACCATTGGACTTCAGGTATCTTTGTTTTGTTTTGTTTTTGTTTTGAAATCTTGATCTGAATCGGGAGCCACATTCAGCCCTCTCCTTCTCAGAACCTCCTTCTCTTTGGAGAAGGGGTGGCCTCTTGGAGACACAGAGGGTCTCACCTTGGATGACCTCAAGAGAAAAAGCCCAGGAAGCCCGCCGTCTGGTCCCGACCTGCAGACCTCTCGGCAGTTCAGTCGGTCAGGCCCCGCTGCGGAAGGTCCCCGGGGCCCATCACCTGCTCGCAGCCCTCAGGTAGGAGAGGGGTCCTCTCTCTCCTTGCCGACCACCCCACCCCTACCGCACCAACACCTCTGTTTTCAGTCAGTGTTGTCCAGCAACGGTACCGTTTACACAGTCACCTCAGACACATCATTTCACCTCCTTTGCCATGCTGTTAGCCTTAGAACGATTGCAGTGAACACTGTTTACACACCGCGAATCCATTCCCACCAGTCCATTCCAGTTGGCACCAGCCTGAACCATTTGGTACCTGGTGTGAACTGGAGCCCTGTTTACAAGGCGGAGTCGGGTCTTTTGCTGACTTCTCTTCACTTGAGGTCACGTTTTTCCCCCGTGGGGAAATAAACTGACTTTGGACTGCTTCAGTCTCTGCCGTCTTCCATGACCGCGTCTGGTCCTGCCTCCCTCGGCGGTGTCCACTGGAGACAGGCACGAAGACTGGAGCGCTTTTTCTCACAGGTCTGCAATTGTGTTTTTCTCCAAGTACATCATGACCCCCTTCGCCCTCCTTTTGAACTGGAGAGGGGAAGACATGAAAGACATGCCCCCACCCCTCACCTCCCTTGGTCCTTCAGCCCCACTCCAAGCACCCTGAGCTGTTGCTATCCTCAGTCCTGGGAGGAGGGCCTCGGGGGTTCTAGGCCGGTGTGGATTGCAGAGGCTGGGAGTCCCTCATTTGTTGCCCTCCTGCGCTTCACCAGGAAGTCATGGAATTTTTAGGAGAATGAGTTTTTAGAAAGTTAGAGGTGGGCAGAGTTGAGTCCCAGTCCGTGTCTCCTGTTTGGATGTTTTTCTTACTCACCGTTGGAAGCCACCGTGTGCAGACGTCTCCGTTCTCCAACAAGGAACGTGCACCGCCTTCCTGCCTTTCCCCTCACTTAGGCCCCTAGAACCCAGCAGGGTTTCTTGGAACAAATGATGAGTTCTCTGCCGCCTTGCAGGGCTCCGTGCCACACACAGCACAGCCCTCGCCTGGAACCCAGCCGGATCCCATCCCTGCTTCTTTGCAGCTCTGCATGGGTCCTACCCACCCCTGGAAGGGAGGCAGCTCAGGGAGCACTGTTGTGGGACCCCCTTGGGATGCCTCCACTCTGATTCAGAAACACACTTCTACCTCTTCACTGTTAACTCCTACAGTTGCAGCTGGCAGTTTCAGGGCACCTGTGTTGGTGGTGCCTCTGCTGGCTTCTCCACTCGAGTTTCAGGACAAACTACCAAGGAACTGCCTCATACTCCCAATAGTTCCCTCTGAGCCCCGGCCCCTACCTTCTGGTTATATCGTCAGGCACCGAGCAGGTCTGAGACCCAGGCTTCTTGCTGCAGCCCAGGCTAGCACACTTTGTTTAAGGTGAAAGCCTTGAAGTTCAGCTCCATGGCCCTTGATTGGCAGCTAGCTGGAGCGAACAAGCATGTGTTGATTTAGGCAAGGTAGCTTGGGATACCTTTTGCAAAAGAAAACCAGATATAAAAATATCTGGCAGAGTTCGAATCAGTCTAGATGATTTGCTTCTAAAAATTAGTTTCAGTTGAGTCCCAGGGACTAAATTAAGGTTTATTTTCAAAAGCGCCTACTTGGGTACTCAGCCACCTCCTGCATGCTGTGCATGTTGTCTATGTTGTTGGGACTTCTGGTAGAGGAAACGCGATGTGAGAATTGGCGTGGGGTTCACTGCAGCCATTCTGTGCTGGCCTGCATGCAGGCCCTCCACCCGCCCTCTCCTGGCCGCCTCCCTGACCCTTGGCCTGCAGAGGGAAGCGGGCTGTTGGAGGAACCCAGTCCCCTCTGCCTGCCCTTTGCTGTCCTTTCCCTGGAGTCTCCCTGCTAACTTTCCTGATGTTGGGAAACTCAGGATGGACAAAGCAGCTATTTAAGAGCTTGTAACTGGGCCTGGCCCCTGCCTACTGGCTTCTTGTCTTCTCCCTTCCCGCTCTCTTTCTTCTCTGTGCCCTCACGACCCACAAGGCATTCTCCTTGCCACTGTGAACCTTGCAGGTGCAGAGGAATATTATCTGCCTTTATCTTTTCTTGCTTTTCTCTTTTTCTTTTTTTTTTTTTTTGACTCTAGCTACCCAGCTGTTTTTTTAAACCTTCCCAAAATTATATTAAAAAAAAAAAAAAAAACTTTCTGGCCTGATTGTTTAGAGGTTAAGAAAAGCTCTGTCCTACCTACACTCAGTCCCCAGACTTCAGTCCTTTGGTACCCTTCCTAAGGACATGGGCACTTGTCCAGGACAGGAGCTGTGGTGTGTGGCACAGAGACCAATCAGGGACCAGGAGAAAAGGAGTGATGTTCCCTTCCCCCATGATCTCCTTCAGCTGGCATCAGTGATGAGCTGGCCTCAACAGGGACAGGCGCTTCCCTCCCTGCGCCGTGTGGCTGGTCAGGGCCCAGGATGCCCCTGGGAGTCAGTGCTGCCAGGCCTAGGTGGCAGTGCCAAGGAATGCTGTGCTGCCTGACAGACAGGAGGCAGGGAAAGGAGGACCGCTGAGTTTCTCACACATACCCCCAATCTTCGCAAGTGGCATTTTGTTCATGGAAATCCGGGAAGCAGGTGTGATGATGTTTTTGCTCGTAGATATTGTCCTAAGCTGAAATCCACCCCCTGCACCCTAAAACTTTGCCTAATAGTCCTTGCAATTCCCCCATCCCTTTTGATAGCTCTTGTTATCCACCCCCCACTTTACCTTCCTTATTATCTAGGAGCTGTTTTTAAGCACGATTTTTTTTTAAACAGGTTATATTGTACAGGATCAATACTTTGCTTTTTAACAAGGATATTTATGTAATAAGAAACTTTGCCTTAGGCAGGTGTTGGCCAGAAAAGTCCAGATTCTTCTGGAACCCTCCCCTGGCCTCTCCTGGATCTCTGAACCTGCTGTGGAAGGAATTGGCTGTAACCTTGACCACTGGAGAGGAGGGTCTGGCAAGGGAGAGGGGTGCTCGCCAAGATCACCTAGTGCCCCTGGAGGGTCTTGGGAGATCCCGTCCAGCCTCAGGTGGTGTGTGCCGAGCTGCTGGAGGCCCCCTCGGCACTAGAATGCCCCAGTAACACTTCCTCCTGCTCTTCCCTCCCTCCCAGTGGTCAAGGCCATGGGGCCACTCTTTCGTAATGCCAGATTATTTAAAGAGAAAAAATACAAAACAAAAACCTTCTAGCACTTTGTAAACACAGCGAATAACCTCTTGGAGTATTTTTGGCTTTATATAAAACAAGGTTTTTAATTGTAAAATATAAGTGCCATTAGAAAATGCACAGGGCATATCTTTGTTAAAGTAGATTTTTTTTCAATGTTTTACAGAATTACATTTTCGAAAAAAAAGTTTTTATAATGAAGTTGTTTATTAAAAACTTCTGAATGATGTGTTTGGAAGTTGTGAAGCTGTCTGATTGGGAAGGGGTGGTGAGAGCCTGGAACAAAAGCGGGACTCTGGACCTCATTAGCATCAGAGGTGAGGGTGGGTGTGGGGCAGGCAGTAACAACCCCTCGGTAGTGGCTGTGAGCTTTGTTCCTTAAAGTTTGTTATTATTTTTAAATTAGCTACATAATCAGATTTTAAAAGGGGGATTTGTTTACTTTTATTGGAAAGATTTACAGAGAGGAGAGACAGACAGAGGTCTTCCATCTGCTGGTTCACTCCCCAGAAGGCCACAATGGCTGAAGCTGAGCTAATCCAGAGGCAGGAGCTAACAGGCACAGGGTCTCAAGGACTTGGGCTATCCTCCGCTACTTTACCAGGCCATAAGCAGAGAGCTGGATGGGAAGTGGAACTGCTCGGATTCAAAGTAGCACCCCACATGCACTTGCAGATGGAGAATTAACTTGTTGAGCCACCATACCGACCCTAAAGTTTAAGATCTTAAGTGAGTGCCGTTTAGGTAAGTGGCATTATTTCTGGATGCATGGGTTAGAAAACCTGAATTGAGTGGCCTTTAAACAGTGACATTTCCAATGAGGGAGTGTGGCAGACATCAGGCAATCTAGAGGGCAGGCCAATCCAGAACCTCCAAGGTGGAGGGACCTACATGCCCCTGGCCGGCTACCTGGCTGCTGCATCCTCTCCAGGCCCTGCAAAGCAGCGTCCACCAAGGAAGACCAGTCCAGTACTTCCTAGCTCCAGACCTGACCCTTTCACAAGGTGCTGAGTGGAAGAGCCTTCCCACGGGCTGAGGGACAGTGTGCCTGAGGGCCATGCGGGAGGCTTCAGACTGCACTTGTCTTCTGTGCCCTGGGGTCAATGTCCAGAACCCAACCACACAGAGCACTTGGGAGTGTGGCCCAAGCTCCTGAAGGCACCAATGCTTGCACGAGGCACACCAGGCCAGCGCTTAGTCCCTTTTTACTTGGAAAAAAAAAAAAAGTCATGGTCCACACCAACCAGTCGAACCCCAAGGGTGTCCACCTCCCTAGTGGGATTGCATATCCCACCCCCCAGGACAAGTGTGGGGGTTCCGAGGAGGGGGTTGTTGGATCCATTAGGCAGGAGAAGGCTGGGGGCTTTCTGGAGGCCGTGGCAAGGACTAGCAGGGGAGGCGCAGAGTGGTGGGTAGACTGCACATTGCGGGAGCTGAAACCCCCGGAGCACAGACATTTGCTGCGTGGAGGATGGCGGCAGCCAGCTCATCCAGGTCCTCAGCCCTTGCCTGGTACAGGCGCTGCGCCTGGACAAATTGGACAAAAGCTCACCTTTGCGCTCTGGGATAGAGCAAAGTAAAACCGAAGTCGGCTTTATTCCAACCAACCAGCCAGGAGGCTCCATTTGCTCTTGGGTTTGCAGGACCTAAGACCCTCGCTGTGGAGCCTTCTGCTCTAACTTTGGTTTTGCTATCTTTCGTCCCAAGAATAGTTCCAGCATCTTCAGATGCAGGTCTGTTACCAGCATTTGTGACTCTCAATTGGAATCCGATCGATTTGGGAGAGAGATGTCTCGAGCCTTCCGTATGTGCTTCAGTCACTGTCCTCTGCAAGGCTGGGGCTGCGGCAGCCCTCGCGCTCCACCGCATCCACCCCAGACCATGAGTCTGCCCAGACCATGTGACTGCCCAGCGCGGTGTCTGCGATGGGAGATTCTAACCCGCCATATCTAGAATTGAGCCTGACCCCTAGCACCTGCTCTAAGCTGCCGCCCACCCCTTGCTCGGTTCACCTCATCACTTTCCCCCACCGCCGCGCGGACCCTACGCGCCAGCCGGGCCTCCTTGCCCCTTGCGCTCCACAGCCGCGGGACCCCGGCAAATCACATCCGGAAGAGGGGGCGCGAGGGGCGGAGCGTGCTTCAGAGGAGGGACGACTCCTCCCCCGCGCCGCTCGCGGTCCCTCCGCCGCCGCACCTCTGCTTCGCAGAACCCGCAGTCCGGCCTGCACCCTTCGAACCCCTCTAGGCTCGAGGCTCCCATCGGTGATGGCGGACGAGGGCACGGGGGCCTTGGAGAGTGCCGCGCACCCGCCAGCTGACCCTGCGCAGGACGGGGACGTGAGCCCGGCCTCTGCCGCCTGCTCCGGAGAAATGGAGGACCCAGGGCGCCCCGATCCTGCAGCTGGCCCTGGGCGCTGGGAAGCGGCCTCTGCGGCGACTGTCCCCGACCTGGAAGACGACACGGTGGGGAAGGAGGTCCCAGAAACCTGTGGCGCAGACGAATGGAAGGCTCGCCCGGGAGGCGGTGGGAGGGCCGAGGATGTGACCACCGAGAAGGGAGCCATCTTCGTGGAGGAAGCAGAGAAACCGGTGGGGGAGGAGAAGCTAGAGGTGGGCGCCAATGTCCCTGGGGACCCAGGCCCCTTCAACCTCGAACGCCTAATTGTAGACCCACTGGAGGCCATCCAGTGGGAGCTGGAGGCGGTCAGCGCCCAGGCCGACAGGGCCTACCTGCGGCTGGAGCGCCGGTTTGGGCGGATGCGCCGGTTGCACCTAGCCCGGAGGAGCTTCATCATCCAGAATATTCCGGGTTTCTGGGTCACTGCCTTCCTAAACCACCCGCAGCTGGCAGCCATGATCAGTCCTCGAGATGAAGACATGCTCAGCTATCTGATGAACTTGGAGGTGAGGGAGCTAAGGCACGCCAGGATGGGTTGCAAGTTCAAGTTCCGGTTTTGGAGCAACCCTTACTTCCGAAATAAGGTGATCGTGAAGGAGTACGAGTGTGGAGCTTCGGGCCGGGTGGTGTCCGTGGCCACTCGCATCCGTTGGCACCGGGGCCAGGAACCACCAGCCCTAGTGCACCGCAACCGGGACACTGTCCGCAGTTTCTTTAGCTGGTTCTCCCAGCACAGCCTGCCTGAGGCTGACAGGGTGGCCCAGATCATCAAAGATGACCTGTGGCCCAATCCCCTGCAGTACTACCTCCTGGGGGAGAGACCCCGCAGGGCTAGGCGGGGCCTGGCCAGATGGCCTACAGAGGCCCCTACCCGGCCCTATGGGTTCCAGTCTGGCTAAGTGGGCCTTGGGGTGGCACCTCCATGGTGACCCCCTCTGCCTTTGCCTTCTACCCGCCCACGTGTGCTCAGGCCAGCGGTGGCTATGGGTGCCTTGCTGTCAGCTTTCCCTTCTGTGCACCTTGGCTGGTCTGGATGTGTAGTGAGCTCAGCCCCAAGAGTTCCAGTCAGTCTCTGCTATTTCCATGTAAGTTTTGTGTTCGTGTCAGCATCCCAGAACTGTCACCTCTCCACCTGCACCAAGTACCCAGTGCTGTGGATGTGTGCCGCTGTCAACTTTGTGACCTGAACAGTCAATGACCTTGGCCTCTCCTGCAAACTGGGCCTCCTGGACCTGTGCCCTGGGCTCACAGTGACCCTGCCTCCTGGCTCTGGGTAGCTGAGTCTTATTGCCCAGCGTGGAGCAAGTGCATCTGGATGTTCCCACAGGCCAGCCTGCTGCCAGATGAACTACCTGCTCTCTCTGCTCCTTCTGCAGGGTGTCTGCCCACCAGGGGTGCTGCACACGAATGAGACAAAGGGCACAAAGTAGCTGTCAGCACATTGTTCTACCCTGTGTTGGTCCTCACCCCAGCCTGCCCCTGGCTTGTGCACCTCAGCAAGGCATGGCCTTGACCTTCCTGTTATGTTTAGACCAGGTCACCCTCAGCATTGTTGCCTGTTCCCGGATCACTCTCAGACATGGGCGAACTTCCCTGCAGGCGCACGAGAGAGCCCCTGAACCCTGCCTGGCTGCATGTATGTTCTGGGGGACTGCTAGGTCAAGATCCCTCCCAGGAACCCTGAGCTCTGTGCCCAGTTCTGGGACCCATGTAGAATCCAGGCCCTTGGCCAGTCTGCCTCGCCTCCACCTGCTTTTAGTTTGTCAGGGTGCATGCAGGTGCTGGCCAGAAGCATCTCTGGTCATGGGCTTGCCCACATGTCACATGATTTGTTTTTCAAAAGTGATGGCTCAGAAACAAGATAAACGAAAAGGGAGATTTTTGCAAACAGGTGAGCAGACAGCCTTTCTGGTTGAATTTGTCTCCCAAGAGGCAGAACCTGACCTGCGGGCTGGCAGCACCTTCTTCCCTTTGCCAGAGCCTGGAATCTTGGGCAGTAGACACTGTGTATTTGCTGAAGGGCCACCAGGAAGTCCCCTGGGAAGGGGCTGTTCATTATTCCTTTTTATACTGTTCTTGTAGAGGAACTTTAGCCCCCAAAGTTCTGTCCCCTCTGGGTCCAAACCCTCGTGGGCTTGTTGCCAGGTCCTCTCCCCCACCCTCGGGCTTGCAGAGCCATCTGCATAGCAGACCCCTTTCCACTGTGGAAGGCCTGGTCTGCTGCTGCAGCTGGTGGCAGTGCTCACCCCCACGAGTGTGGAGATCTTGTGCAGAGATGGCTGTCCAGCCAGAGCCAGTGGGGGCCTGGGGGAATATTAGGGGGTGGAGGAGTGGTTCCTGCTTTGTGTCCGCCAGTGTGTTCTGCAAATCGGGAGGACAGCAGGACACTGCAGCTATCCAAGTCCCTTTCGTCTGTGCTCTGTGCTTTGGATTTTGTGGCTTGGAAGGCAGACTCCTGGCAGCATCCTGTCTTCGTCCCAGTCCCCTCCCTGGGCCTGCCTGTGGCTGTTAGTATTGACCATTTGCAAAACTATCAGTGTCCATTTTCTATGCCTTTTGGAAATTCGTGTGACTCATCACAACTGCTGGACTGAGAAATGGTGTGAGCAAGATGATCAGTAGGATGGACCACAGAAGCTGGGACTGTGGGGGGAGCTCGGTCCCCCAGCAGGCTGGGGGCTGTGGGTGTCTGTGCCCCAGTGGTCCAATGGTTAACTGGCCTCGCTGTGGTGGTGAACGCTGCTTCTGCAGAGCCCAGTGTGGCTTGATCAGTACAGAATTAGTGACATTCCTGTCTTCTGTATGCATGATGAAAAAATAAAACCTTTCATCTGGGAAAATATATTGTTTCTCTCTCCCTTCTAGAACCCTGGGGAGTTAGGAGTGGTGTGGTGTGTGAAGTCTTGATTCCTTTGCATGGTGGCGCAGCCCCACCTTAGCCGGTTTCTGTCAGCGGCTCCTCTGTCTCCCCTCCATGTGCACGTGGCTGCTCCAGCACATCCTCTCAGCTGTTCCTTACTCATGCCAAAGCCCATGCCAGGCTCTGGGTTTCTGCCCTGATCTCCCTCTGGAATGTTCCTGCCTCCAACCCTTCAGAGGTTTTCCTTGCCTAGACTCCGCATAGTCACAGCCTGCCTCTTCCCCATTCTCATTCTGAAATGATCTTCCTTCCCCCACCTCAGCGTGGGGGCCTGGCTGAGTGCAGCGTGGCCTTGCAGAGTGACTGATGTGTGAGCAAGCCGTTGTGCAACGTGTGCGGGTTTCCTACTAGGGACTGGCAAAGCCCAGAACGATGTGGGGTTCCTGCTGCGGGGCTTCAGGTGGGCAAGAAGGCAAGGCAGATGGTGGAGGGGACCCAAGGGTATTCCATCCAGTCGGAGCACATCTGGGAATGAAAAAGGGTCACTGCTGGACGAGAGAGGTCATGGTCCACAGCAGTCACCCCAAGCTCAGTAGAGGGTACACCTCAGCTGAATGTGACTTGGAACTAAAGGGTTCAGACACTGGAGCTGGCCTTGCAGGACTGGGTGGGAGTTTGGCACCTGGGGCCGGTGAAGGGAAAGAATTCTTGGCAGAGCGAATAGCTGAACACAGCTCTTTCCTAGTGACTAGGAAGGCACTGTGTGTTAGGGACACTGCACCCTGCGCTCGGTCACCTGGGAGACCCAAGGCTAGGAGACAAGCCACTTGTTGAAGAGGAACCCTGAAGGCCACACCAAGGCATTGCCCTGTTGGAGGAGGGTGGTGTCAGGTGAGGTGCAACCTCAACGGGGCTGCTGTAGGCAAGGGAGCAGACTGGGTGGCCCAGATCTCTAGTGTTTTCCATTTGAGCCTTACCTTTCCATCTAGGCTACAACTCTTCCAGGAAGTCCTCCAGGTTGTGACCGTTCTTTCCCCTACCTGCATTAACTTGCTGTCTTCCAAGTACAGCTTAACCCGGAATTGGGGACAACAGAGCTTGCACCTTCTGGGTTTCTCTTTTGTTCCAAACACCTGTCTCTGATGCTCCTGGCAGAATGAGGGCAAGCGTGGCAATGCTGGAAGCTGGTGCCTGATTGCCTCACCTGACCTGCACCTGGTAGTTGGCAGGTGCACTTGGGCTCCTGCAGATCCGAGGCCAGGAGCCAGGAACTTCTTCCGGGTCTCCCTTGCGGGTGATTGGGCCATCTTCAACTACCTTCCCAGGCTACAAGCAGGGAGCTGGATGGGAAGTGGAGCCGCTGGGATACGAGCCAGCGCCCATATGGGATCCCATAGAGAAACTGAAGATATTCTGACAGTTGCTAGCATTGTGGCACCATGAGCTAAGCTGCTGCTTGCAAGGCAGTGCCCCATATCGGAGGCTCCGATATTGTAGTCCCAAGTTTGAATGGCTGCTCTGTTCCTGATTCAACTTCCTGCTAAAGTGCCAAGTGGACCCATGCCACTGATGTTTGAGACCTGGATGGAGTTCCTGGTTCCTGGCTTCAGCTGGTCAACTCCTCGCCGTTGTGGCTTCTGAAGGAACGAATCAGAGATGGTCCTCTCTGTATCACTCTGCCTTTCAAAAAAAAAAAGCATTTTTGACAAGGATGCCAAAACCATTCAGTGGGAGAAAAGAATGGTCTGTTAACAAATGGTGTTGGGGAAACCAGATAACCACATGCAAAAGAATGAATCTGGGCCATGACCTTATCACACATGAAAGTTAATGCAAAATGAACCAGGTCTCATAGCTAACATTGAAAATCTACAAAAAACCCAAAAAGCTTTGGGCCCAGCATGACAGCTCCATTGGCTAAGCCTCCACCTCCAAGAACAGCATCCTGTATGGGCATCAGTTTGTGTCCCAGCTGCACCACTTCCTTTCCAGTTCCCTGCTTGTGGCCTGGGAAAGCAGTTGAGGATGGCCCAGAGCTTTGGGAACCTGCATCTGCTTGGGAGACCCAGAAGAGGCTCCTGGCTCCTGGTTTTGGGTTGGTTCAGCTAGCCGTTGCGGTTGCTTGGGGAGTGAATCAACGGACAGAAGATCTTCCTCTTTGTCTCTCCTCCTCTTTGTATATTATATATATATATATATATATAAAACAAATAAAATCTTAAAAAAAGAGATGATATCATTTGCATCAAAATGCTTGCAAATGGAGTACTTGCTAAGTAAGATAAACCAGAATTGGAAAGATAAATGTAGCGTGTTTTCCCATACATATGGAAGCTAAATTTTTTTGATTTTCCCACTTTTTAGATGATATTTACGTAGTTGATCAGGGTGGGAACGATCAAGGCTTAGGGAGTAGCGAGTGTGATCACTGTTCCCAAACTTCTATTCCTTTTCCCATTGCTGGGGGAGGGGAGAGGTACGGGGAGAGGCCTCCCAGCCATCCCAGTACCCGAGGATGGGGGATGGCCACCCAGTATCAATCCAGGGTCACAATGTGGTACATGCTCTGAAGGCTCTGTCCAGGTGGATGCAATAATTCTGAAATGCTGTCAATCTCGCAGATCTATGAATGAGGAATCCCTTCCAGTGTCCATTGGCTGACACTGTCAACTTTAGTCTCCACTTGCCCAGATATTTGCTGTCACTGTTTGGCTGGGGTAGTTCTCCATTCTCTGCTATGTCCTCTGCAGGCCCCAATGGACTAACATATCCTCTATGTGCACCATGGCCTGCTGTCCAGCCCTCCATCCTTTACACTGAGGAGAACCAGTTTTCCTAGGTGGGCTCATGGACCCGGGCCAGGTGACCTAGGCCAAGCTGGTTCCCCAAACCTGGGTTCATGGACCCAACACCCCAGAACCCGGGCCAGGTTACCTGAGACCCATTGGACCTTCTACTCCTGGAGCTCATGGAGCCAATACCTACCACACAGTCAGGCTTAAGGACCTGAGCCTGGCAAAATAGGTCTGGCTAGATCCCCCCACCCCCAGGGCTCATGGACCCAACACTCACCAGAAAGCTAACATTTTTTTAAAAAGCAAAAGTAGAAATGTATGATCAGTTTTCCTGTAAATACAGTGCTTTGTCAAATTTTGCTTTAAATCATTATAAAAAAATTTAAGAATATTTTCAATGACAGCTTTAAAATTCCCTGTATATAAGTGACACAAATATCCTTTCATTAACTTATAATACAAAATTTCAAATTATTAATAAAAGAATGGGCAAGGGATGGTGCAGTGGCATAACAGACTAAGCCTCCAACTGTGGTGTTGGCTCTCGTCTCTTAGTTGCCTTTTTTTTAAAGATTTATTTATTTTTATTGGAAAGGCAGATATACAGAGAGAAGAAACAGAGAAGATGATCTTCTGTCTGATGACTAACTCCCCAAGTGACCACAAAGGCCAGTGCTGCGCTGATCTGAAGCCAGGAGCCAGGAATTTCTTCCAGGTCTCCCACACAGGTTCAGGGTCCCAAGGCTTCGGGCCTTCCTCGACTGCTCTCTCAGGCCACAAGCAGGGAGCTGGATGGGAAGTGGGCAGGAGGAACATGAACTGGTGCCCATATGGGATCCCGGCTAATGCAAGGTGAGGACTTTAACCACTAGGCTACTGCACCAAGCCCTAGTATTGTCTTTAAAAAGCAATAAATTTTTTTTCTTAGATTTTATTTTTATTAGAAAGGCACTTACAGAAAGGAAAGAAATAGAGGGTCCCAAGGCTTTGGGTTGTCCTTGACTGCTTTCCTAGGCCACAAGCAGGGAGTTGGATGGGAAGCAGAGCTGCTGGGATTAGAACTGGCACACATATGGGATCCTGGTGGGTTCAAGGCGAGGACTTTAGCTGCTAGGTTGCCGTACCAGCCCTGCAAAGGGCAAATATTACACTTCACTCACATGCGGGCCCTCAAGGAGTCAGGTTTGCACACAGAAAGCAGAGTGGTGGTTACCAGGGAAATGGGGACTAATGACTTGGTGGGCCTGAGTTTCAGTCTGGGATGATAGAACATGTTCTGGGGGGACAGTGGTCATGGCTCAGAACCAAGTGACCATACTTAATGTACAGAACGGATACATTACACAGTTAAAACAAAGGGGCTGGTACTGTGGCCCAATGGGTGGGTCACTGCCCATGATGCCTGAAGACCATGACTGCTGGTGAATCCCAGCTGCTCTGCTTCTGTATCAATTCCCTGATAATGCATCTGGGAAAGCATCACATTATCCCAGTGCTTGGGCCCCTGATAAAACCCTCAGGAGAGCCAGATGGAGTTCCAGGCTCCTGTCTTTACCTTGTCCAGGCCTGACCATGGAGGCCATTTGGGTACTGGACCAGCAGATACAAGATCTCTCTGGCTTGCCTTTTCTCTAGCTCTGCCATTAGAGTAAATCTTTTCGAAAACAGAAAATTATAGGACCCGGCACGGTGGCCCAGTGGCTAAAGTCCTCACCTTGAATGTACTGGGATCCCATACGGATGCTGGTTCTAATCCTGGCAGCCCTGCTTCCCATCCAGCTCCCTGCCTGTGGCCTGGGAAAGCAGTCGAGGACAGCCCAAGGCCTTGGGACCCTGCACCTGTGTGGGAGATCTGGAAGCTCCTGATCAGCTCAGCTCTGGGCATTGCAGCCATTTGGGGAGCTCCGTAAATCTGACATATCTTTCCAACAAAAATAAATCAATCTCTTATTTTCATTGGAACGGCAGACTTATTGAGATAAGGAGGTACAGATATAGCTTCCATCCACTAGTTCATCCCCAAGTGGCTGTAATAACTGGAGCTGAGCTCATCTGAAGCCAGAAGCCAGGAGTCAGGAGCCAGGAGCCTCCTCTGGGCTACTCACTCAGGTACAGGGCCCCAAGACCTTGGACCGTCCTTTATTGATTCCCCAGACCACAAGCAGGAGGCTGAATGGGAAGTAGA